GGTAGGAGAAAGCTGGGCTGTCTCAACCCCTCCCACGGGGCTGAGGAACTGTGCTGTACCGAAAAAAAGCATCAGCAGGGCAGAGGTGTGGAAAGGGCTTTTAAGAAAGGACAAACGAAGTTGTTTGGAGAGGGGAATTCGTATCCAGCTCAGTGCTCTGGACAAGTTTAAATGGGATTTATTGCTCAACCAGAGAGCTGTTTGTGAGGTTGGGATCTGTACATGCAACACCTGAACTGTGATCTGACTTCTGCAAACAAGTATTTTCTCCAGGCCCTCGTGGCTGACAAGCACATGCTGTGATTGCTGTCCCTGAGGGCAGATCCTGTACCAAGGTTAATGGAACCAAGCTCAGTCTAATTTTGTTCCCAGAAGTTTCTGAGCAAACAGTTATCTGTCCTCTGCCTCGAAAATACAAACTCACAGGTGGACTTGCCGTGGGTTGATCGTTCTTAAAGCGGTGCTGTTCTCTCTAGAGGTGCGTGGGTGTTCTCTCAGACCTCCGTTTTAACAGACTACAATTACCAGTGCCACTGTAACTTTATTTAGCACAGTAGTAGCACTGATAGTGGCTGAGAGGATCAGCTGCTAAGGTTCCCTGAAATATTTGGGAGTCGGATAGTGTGTCTCACATTTTCTGTTTTGAAAATGCCTCAGTTCTAATAACAAGGTGGATATTCCAATATCTTCCATCAGTGAGTACTTGGGCTTCATCTTCCAGCTAGCAGCTTGGCTCCAGAAGAGTCACCTGTGATCTGCATTTCATTGCCTTCCTGCTGAGTGCAATGTCTCTCTATCAATGTCACAGGAAAATTTGTTCAAAGTCAAGTTCAGGTACTGACATTGGCGTGGAATTAGTTTGTCAGATATTCACATCACCCCTCTGCAACATGCTTTCCTTTAAACCTACAAACGTCTGGAGCGATTTTATGTAGTAAAACCACAACGTTCTCCTGAGTGCAAAGGCCACTTAAGCAACGTAAAAGGTAATTTTTCTACCGTTTGATCTTCTGCTGTGAAAAGTGGGGGTATTGATAAAATCGAAATGAAGTCCAGGTGAAGTCATTGCTAATACAAGTTTCTGAAAAAGGACCTGAAGATGGTTGCAGCTGTGCTATCAGGCAGCCATGAAAACCTCTTCATTGCCCAAAGAAATTGTGGCAGCCCCATTCCTGGAAGTGTCCAAGGTCAGGTTGGATGGGGCCCTGAGCAGCCTGGTCTGGTGGAAGGTGTCCCTGCCCATGGAAGGGCTTTTGAAAGGGATGGACTTTAAAGTCCTTTCCAATACAAACCATTCTATGATTCTCTGACTTTTACAAAGACAAAAAATTCCACAGTGTCATCCTGTCACAGCTTCCATCTGCTCCTGCTGTGCATATCTTGCCTCAATTCTGCCAAAACCTGTGGGTTCTTGGGTGTTTGACCCTGCACCTCTCCTGCCTCTGAACAAATTTTCCTGTGATCTTGATAAGGTCGATAACCCAGAGGTGGGATTAATTTCACCTACCTCAGGCGGTGCCTGCATTGCTCAGTGTTGGGAACACCAGGCTGACCTTGCAGGCGCTTCAAAGGAACAGACATTATCCATCTGACTGATTTTTAACATCTGAATTATACCCTACGATGGGCTATTTTTTCCCATTGACTCTAAAAGCACCTTTAGAGCTAGTTCAGATGTAGACCTTTAGACCTTTTGGTGAGATGAACTCGAATCACACAAGCTTTTGACTGAAGAATGTAATTTTATTTGAAAATGTTGCAAATCAACAATTTTTAACCTGCTTTCCGTGAAGGTGCTACTTTTTTTTAAAAAAAGAAATTTTTCCTCTTTTTAATTTTTGGTTTTGCTCTTTTTTCTTTCGCTTTTGTTCCTACTTTTTAATTTTTTTCTTTTGCTTTGACTGCATTACATCCATCTTAAAAGACTTTCCTAACTTTTTCTTCACTATCTATTTAAAGTATAGGAAAGTTCAGGAAAACTTAAGCATAGAATTGCTTTCACATACTAATGTTTCATAAGATGTTCAAGAAAGAATTTTTGAAGTTTTTAGACAAAAGTTGATTTTCCATTTTCAAGAAAACGCTAACTTTTAATGAACTAAAGAGTGATGAACTCTAATTATAACAGTGAACTCTAATTATACCATTTCATATTTTCATCAATACTCAGGCTGACTGCAAATGTTGGCACAATGAGGTCTCTTTTACTGACACATCCAGAAATAGTTTTATCTATAAAATTCTGCTGACATCGACTAAAGAACAAGTTGTCCAATACTTGGAAGAGTCTTTTACTTAAATGTTATTCTTTTCTTTTCTTTGACTGTAGAAAGGCCGTATAGATAGATGAATGAATAAAAATAACAAGAGACAATGGTAGAGACCTGGAGAATAAGAGGCATGCAGGGTTTGGAATTAATCCAAAACATCTATTGTGCTGTGATTATTTTAATGGCAATATCCCTGATCTGCTTATGATGGAGACGACAAGGAAAACGGAGAGAGGGACTTTTTACAAGAGCATGGAGTGACAGGACAAAGGGGAATGGCTTCAAACTGGAGGAGAGTAGGTTTATACTGGATATTAGGGAAAAAATTCTTTACTGTGAGGATGGTGGAGCACTGCAACAGGTTACCTGGAGAAGCTGTGGATGCCCCACCCCTGGAAGTGTTCAAGGCCAGGTTGGATGGGGCTTTGAACAACCTGGGCTAGTGGAAGGTGTCCCTGCCCATGGCATGGGATTGGAACTGGATGATCATTAAAGTCCTTTCCAACCCAAACCACTCTGTGATTCTATAATTTGTTGTGTAAATGTTAATCTACAAGGTCTGAACAACTTAGCAAACCTGAAAAACAACCCCAAGTGCTGTCTCAGGCATCATGGGGCGATAGCACAGTGAGGGGGATGGTGTGAAGATGTGTGGTCAATGCAGCCCTCCTGGGACACCACCAGGAACAGCACGTGCAGTGCTGACATCCCAGTGCTGGAAAGATGCTGCTGGAGTTTAATAAGGTGAAACACAAACAGTCAAAGAAGTTGGATTTCTCTGATTCCAGAGAGATGCAGGGGAGAGCCAGAGCAGCTAATTGGATGTTCAGCCATTGACTGGGTGTGCATGTTTTCTTTTTCAGTGCGAATTCCTTCTAGGCATAAATCCCTAGCAGGAGAAGAAGTAATGGAGATGCCTAGTGGTTTATGCCTATGTATAAAATTTGACCTGGTGCTGTCTTTTTCCCTTTTTTTGTGTGCAGCACCTAGGATAGGAGCATCACTACTAAGTTGCAATTATTGCTATCAATGAAAGAGAATATAAAATTTGTCTGTTTCTAAGACCTGCAGAGAAATTTTGATTCAATAGTACACAGGGAATCCTAAATTGCATCCTTTCAATAAAAGAGTAGCTAAACTCCTAAAGGTGTCTGTGTGTAGACCTAAAAAAAAAGATTTAAGCTCACTGAGCCACACCAAAGTTTCTGCTTGGTAAATATGCAAATCACAAAGCACTGCACCAGTCTATTAAAACACGATCTATTAACTGAAAACTTACTGCTGGTTACTATGAAAATGAGACTTAGCTTGTGCTAACTTTTTAATGGTGAGTTTGCACATTTTGGGGGGAATATCTGAAATGGGGGTGGGCGGGAAGATTCTGTAATCAGCACCTTATCTTTAACTTCTCATCCAATTTCCATTTTGAAAGTCTTTAATGGAGAAGCAAAGCATGTTTAATTGATTGCCATTAAAATCTTCAAAGGAATAAGCAAGATGAAAGTTGTTTCTAATTACTGCATTATGATGTAAGCTTAACGATACGACACTTCTCCAAATTGATTTTATTAGAATTTAAGATGAGGAATTAATTGAGTTACTGTATTGATCCATTTTATTTTTCCACCATTTAACATGTCCAGCGGAAAAAAAAAAAAGCCATTGAGCTGTGGAATAGTAATGAGGGCTTAAGAAAGAAAGTCGAAGTGAAGATGGATTGGCCAATAAAAATAACTTATAAAAACCGAAATGTGATGGCAGAATACAGTGGCAGAGACCAATTTGTCGCTAGGTTAATTAGAGTAAATTAAGGTTAATTCTTTTGTTATTTAACTTTTATTTCTTTGTTTTGCTTCATCCCACCTGTTTGTATTTGAATAACTGCTTTCCTGGCACAGCAATACTCTGAAAATCTCTAACCAATTCTGCCACATTTGCCTTTAAAGTTCTCTTTTACAATTACCTCCAAAACCTAAAAACCAATTCCATGCATATTCTTGATCTTTCTTAAAAATTTCCTAGGGGTATATAAGATTGTTTCCTTGGACTAATTGTCTTAGAACACCATTCCTGCTTTTTTTCTTTGGATGTCAGTGCGACACAGGTGCTGTTAGAACATGAGGCACATGCTCCATGCTCTCCTATACATGATCTCCTCAGATATGGGCACTGAAGATCCTGTTTAGGCTCATCTTAATCAACTTTTTCTCAACTAAACTCTGAGTTCCAGGCATGAACATGCTTGCATTGAACAACAGTTGCACTACTACTGCTGCTAATGGCCATAAGCTGAAGGAGGGCAGGTTTAGATGAGATATTAGGAAGAAATTCTTTGCTGTGAGGGTGGTAAAGCGCGTTGCCCAGAGAAGTTGTGGACACTCCATCCCTGGAAGTGTTCAAGGCCAGGTTGGACAGGGCTTTGAGCAACCTGGACTAGTAGGAGGTGTCCCTGCCCTTGGCAGTGGGGTTGGAATTGCCTGATGATTAAATTCCCTTCCAATCAAAGCCATTCTGGGATTCTATGATTCTAATTACCCATGGAGACATCAACTCCAAGACTGTGATTTAATGGAACACATTTAGCCCATCAGCAAGGTGGGTGAGGGACGCTCATCAGATCTGCTGTGGTGAAAGGAAGTTTGACCTTACAAAAAGAACCCATTGAGTTATTTTACATTAATAGTAGTTTTCTGTGTCCTGCTGGGGTAGCTGTTCATAACATCACAGAATCACAGAATGGCTGAGATGGGAATGGACCTCTGGAGTTCGACTAGTACATCCCCCTCAAGCAGGTCCAGTGAAAGCAAACTGCAAAGGGATGTGTCCAGTTGGGTTTCAATTATCTGGATGGATGGAGACTCCACAGTCTCTTAGGGAATCCTGTAAGGTCACTAGGGAAAAAAACATCTTGTCTTGTGCTTGCAGAGCACAGCAGAAAACAGGGTCTCATTCTAAGTTTAGAGCTCAGGGCATGGTTTCACCTCATCCTTCTTTATAAATTAATAAATACAGACAGCATTTTCTCTAATTTCTTTCTTAACTACAGCTTTCAAAATGTGAGTGAAATGTATTCTGAGGGTAAAACGCTCCTCCAGAAGTTCATTGCTGTAGCTGAAATTTGAGGAGTGCTGTTTTGGCTTTGCTGCTTGTGTTGGGTAAATTATGTGTTATATTTGAGATATGAGAGTTCACACTGATGCTGTCTCTGTCTTTCCTATTGATTATGCAAACTGGAGTGTTCTGTGTATACAAAAAGATTGTAATGTAATTAAATACATGATTTATAATTGCATTTTAAGCTCTGATACAATTTAGGAGAGGCTGTGTCGATTTGAGCCTTGAAGCTGTAAATTCATGTATGAGCTCTGCTAATACTTAAAGCTGTACCACAATTTAGAAGGAAATGAGAATGGACATACTGGAGGTGTTAATTTTAACCATGTCTGGTTTATCCTTGGCATTATATCTCATCAGCAACATTGCTGTCTTTCCTTGGAAGACAGAAATCCCCAGATCAGTGATGTTCTCATTCCCTGTGCAGAGAAATGAAAAAAATGTAATGACAGTGTATTTTAGTGGTAACCTCAACCAAAAAACACCCCAAAAAACTATCTCCTGGAAATAATATTCTTCTCTTCCATTGGAAAGACTCTGGCTAAGGTAGAATGATACCAGCTTTCCAGCCAAGTGGACCTCTAGAAGATTTTTTAGATTAACTCTAAGAGATAATTTGTCTCTCTAAATAATTTACACATGATGCAGAGCCAGTTTATTTGCAGATACTTATCAAAGCTCAATTTAAGTAGCTCCTTTGTCAAAATCAGTAATAGCCTGTTATTCTAAATAACCAGGTCATGGCATCTCACACATTTACTAACAAGTGACATTAGCATTAATTGGCAAAGTGATTGCAGAAATATAGTGTTGTATTCAGGAGGAACTTTAATGAGCTCTTAGAGGATCAAAGATTCTCTTGGAAGTTCAGAGATTTCCCATTTCTGAAGTTCAGACAGTCGACTACAGTTACTGGCATTTAGAACATTGTACTACAGGAGAGTGAGTTCAATAACAGTCCAGCAGGGGAAATAAAGGTAAGGAGCAAATATCTCAAAATCTGTCTTTATTTCTTCTTTTATAAATTAATTTTTCAGTTCAGGCTCCAGGTGTAATGCCAAATAATCGTGCTGAGCTTTAAGTGAAATGTTAATTACAGAAATCCACAGTGAAGAAACAGACCTAAGATGCATCCAGAAAACACTCATTAAATAAGGATTGATGGCTTGGTAGGGTAACTAGGTAAAGTTAAAAAGTTTCCTCAGTGGTAAATATCAAAATCCTTTCTGTTTATATGTTGCAGAAATATGGTCTCGGCTCCCAGATGGGCAAGTACCCGCTTCACCAAGGGGGCACTGAACAGCTGCTGAATGAACACAGGTATTACTTGATTGCTTAAAATTAAAAGCAAAATTAAGAGCTGTGAGTCTTTATAAACATGAAATGTATTTATATCACATTTACTCACCCTCTGACTGGGGGAGGAAATGTGATGGAGCACAAGAGGGCTCGATTAACCCCATCTAATTTGCAGTGCCACGGAGAAAGGCTCCAGCAGAAAAGTTTGAGAGGTTGGCAGAAAACTTTGTCTAGATTATATTTTGTCCTTAAGCTCTTTGTAGTGGAGCAGTGACACCACAAAATTGTTGTGCCCCTTACATTGCTACACGTGCACAAACACCACAAACATATATTTGTGTGAGTTTCTTCTAGAAAACCTTCAGAGGCCAGGGAGGGAACTGTTTCTCTTCCAAAGTGTAACTTTGCTTTCGTGGGTTTTATAGTCAAAAGGTGGACATACAACAGTATTTTCTGAGTTCTAGAACAAATTGCTTCAATTTATTTCCTCCCCGAGCATTTGACCAAAGAATGGTGCTAAGTGTGAGCTAATGAATTCACCAGGGAATGAGAACAAAGTAAATACATTTTGTGAAGGATCAATTAGGGCCTGCAGTCTCTTTCTCTGTGCCCATTATCCTCTCTTTCTGACTGGTTTGTGGATTTTGTCTGTCTGCAGAGCAAATAAGGTTGTATCACTGCTCCTGAAACTGGTACATGCTTGGCTAGTGAAGTGGAGCAATGGGATTATGCACTGTAGTGTTTATCACCCTCGCAAAATTTTCCCAGATCTATTGGCACAGATCACATATCTGAGCAAGCCCATGCATTAATCTATGCCCATTTCACTTAATTCTTCCCATAATTAACTGTCATGTGTCTGTCAAAGCAGGTGGGAAAGCCACCGTGTATTTAGGTGAGTGAGGTTTGAGAGGGGCCATATATCAGAGGTAAGATTGCCCTCACCTAACTTCAGCTTTTAAGCATCAGTTGAAATCTAACTGTGTAGACTCTCAACAGCAAGTGAAAAAGGGATAGAAGAGTCTCCAGAGAATGATCCATTGCACCATGAAGTAGGAATCCAAGGACTGCCTTTTTTTCTGTGATTTTTTTTTTTTTTTTTGTCACCACTGGCTACTGAAAGAGCCTGGTCAACTGATTGCAAGAGATGCCCAAGTTTGGGATGGTAAGTTGAAATGAATCCTTCCTCAAGCAATGGTGACATGGACAGGGTAGAGCACTGCAACTGATTTCTTGTAATTTCATGCAACTCACACACATATTACAGATGTTGATCAACAGTGGCTGAACATGAGACAGTGTGTGCCCAAGTGGCCAAGGAGGACAGTGTCATCCAGGGCTGTACCAGCAATAGTGTGGGCAGCAGGACCAGGGTAGGGATTGTCCCCCTGAGCTGGGCACTGGAGAGGCTGCACCTTGAATTCTGGGTTCAGTTTTGAGCCCCTCACAACAAGAAAGACAATTGAGGGGCTGGAGGGTGTCCAGAGCAGGACAACAGAGCTGGGGAAGGGTCTGGAGCACAAGTCTGATGAGAAGCAGCTGAGGGAGTTGGGGGGGGGCTCAGCCTGGAGAAAAGGAGGCTCAGAGAAGATCTTATTGCTTTCTACAACTCCCTGACAGGACGCTGTAGCCAGATGGGGGTCAGTCTCTTTTCCCAGGTAACAAATGACAGGATTGGCCTCATCCTGTCAGAGGATTGTGCCAAATGAGGTTTCAATTGGGTATTAGAAAAAATTCCTTCACTGACAGGGTGGCCAAGCATTGGAATAGGCTGCCCAGAGAAGTGGTGGAATCACTGTCCCTGGAAGTGTTCAAAGTATACATGGATAGGGCACTTTGGGACGTGGTTTGGTGGTGGACCTGGCAGTGCAGGATTAGTAGTTGGACTTGATGATCTCAGAGGTCTTTTCCAACCTTTATGATTAAATAATTCAACGATTCTATGAAAAGGCTTCTTGCATTATCTAAAATCTTCTCTCCTGCCTTGCTTGTTGCAGTTCATATTTAGCCCTCGATATCAGTGTCTTCTCTACCATGGGAAAAAGTGCCCAAGTAACTTTTAAATATTTCTGATGACCTCTTTCTGTCAACACCTCTCTGAAGAAAGCAGGAAGCGTTGGGAATTCAGAGCAAGAACAGCGTGACAACAATTCTGCCTTTTCTTCAGGATGCTTAATATTGCCATTATCTCATATGCACACATATTTAAATGTTATATGCTTCCTTTTAGGAATTGACTGCTAGTGGTTTAAAGCACCCATAAAACTGCTGGAAAGTGGCAGTGCCAATTAATCTGTTGACAGATTTGCTGTTTAAATATTAACGGAACGTGAAGCAAATGTTGGCTGGTGCACTGAGATCCCTTCAGAGGGCCTTCCTCCGAAGTGCTGAGCATTTCCAGGCACTGAAAATGTCCTGGACACTGCAGGACGGGAAGGTTATCGTACATTTTCGGTCCCTTTTCCCCCACACAGCTCCTAAACACATCATAAATATCATCTACCCCTGTGAAAAAGGAAAGATTTATAAAAGTCTGATGAAGATTGTAAACCTCTTGCAGCAATAACAGAACATGTGGTGAGTTTGTAGGGGTTATAGCAGGGAAAGGTTTTGCCTCTGACTGCCTCATCTTGGCAGTGGAATAAATGAAAGAGGGGTGCTGAATTTAACAGTCTGCTCAGCTGGTGACTTGGGAAACCTTGGAAAAGCCCCTGGAGAGGAGGGAAATTTTGATGCAGGGTCAAGATAAGCTTGTGCCATGTAACCCATGAGTGCTGTGCCACAGTGAGTTTGGCTTCCTCGGTGCTCGTGGGTGCAGTGAGTTAGAAACAGGAGGTTGGTGGAAACCACTTCTGGCTCAGTCTTGTCCATAAAAAAAAAAAAAAAAAAAAAAGGCACAGGGAACACAATATGAACACTGATTTCTTTGCTTTTGATTTCTCTGGCCAAACACATGTACCCTAGAGGGGACACGCAGCACGTACCGACTCACAGCCCGTGTGAACTTGAGCATCAAATTGAGAGAGCAGCAACATGACAGTAAAGATGCCTCCTGCTCTGCAATTTCAGTCTGCTACTTTTCCCATTTCCTTTTCCCATCAAGCATATTCGTGGTTCTAAACAGTTTCTTGTCATTTCGTCCTTTTACCTCATTTATTCCAATGAGTTTCGTGTCTCGGAACCCATCCATCACACTTCAATTCAGTCTTATATTGCTGCTGGAAACTTCCCAATTTAATTTCTATTATTTTAACATATTGCATAATAGTCTGAACGTAATTTGTTGACTCTTTTGATTGGCATTTTTTTTTTTATTTAATGAAGGTTGTGATAAAGACTTTCTTTGAAGTTTTTAAAGTATCCTTACTGTGACCTTACTGCCCATCAATTATAATAACAAAACTTATTGACTTTTCCTTTGCTACTGGTTCATTCCTAAATACTGGCCATTCATTATAGTTGCACCTTGCAGTTCTTTCTTTACAGTTTTAACAGAGTAAGGAACAAAAAAAGGGTTATTTATTTTTTTAATGTTAATTGAAGAATCACTCAGGAAAACCAGGCTGATAGCAGGAGGTCTGCTCTGGATTTTTTTTCACATTTTATATGGGTTTTTCACAGAGGCTGTGAGCTCTCCTTGTCTGGAATATTGTTTGCAGTAATCAACATTCACAAAAATTCAGTATTGCTCCATGGTTCGTGCCTTGCACCTTCTCCTCTTTCGTTTTTGTAGCTGAGCTGCAACAAAACTTTCTGATTTTATTTCAGTAGAGGACACAGTAGAGCCATCACTGAAAAGGAGGAGGTGGCTACAGCTTGAAATTCCTTCAATGTCAGAGCTCTCATGTCACAGCCAGACAAGAGCATTCAGGTCTCTTGGGTCCCACTGTAGAGAGATTCTCCTTCTTCTAAAAATTCCATTTGTTTTGCTTCCTTTAAAAATAAATCATTGGATCTGGTTTTTGATTTGAGATTAAATGAAAAGGGAGTAGATATCCAGAAAGAACAGGCTCTCTAAAACAAGAAAATGTATAGGTTTCTGTGGAATAAAAGCCAATTTATCTAAAAAAGAAAAAAAAATCCCATAATAAGATATTGATTACAGTTTTTATTATGAGATTGCTATTGAGTCAGGGACAGCTTCAGTAAATAATACCAAAGATCAAAAAATTTCAAGCTTTGGTTTCACAGTAAAGGGTGATAATTACAGTCTAGAGTGGTTTAAACAGATTAATAACTTCTCTTAGAGAAATACAAACCATTTTCTTCCCGGGGCAGACAAGATTTGGATATCCAAAAAAAAAAAAAAAAGGTGACAAAAAACCTCATGTAATTTCCTTTTTTTTTTTTTTTTTTTTTAATGTGCTTATCTATATTTATTACTTTACTTTTTCGTTTGGTCCTGCTGTGCTCTGATTTTCTGCCCAGAGAAGTGCTATAACAGTGACAAGCTGTGCTCAAACACACTGTTGAGGTTTTTTTTTTGCTGTGAAGGTGGGGGTTTCGTGATGCCTCAGATTATTCCTGACGCCTCTGACTATTTTGACTCATGCCCTCTCAGTTTGTAGGGGAGCGTGCAAACCTAAAAGAAGTGCAAGGTGAAAAAGCTCACTGGAGATCATGCCTAAGCACATCCAGGATGCTTCTACTTTGCTATCACAGTGCAGGGGGCAATTTGCAGGCTGCTACACTCTGAGTTTACCAGATAAGCATGTGCTATCTGCATGGTGAATGCAGCACCTTAACAAGAGGGGAAACAACCAGCAAATACAGAATAGTGATTCCTAAAGGTGGATGCTGTGTGTAAAGGGTGTTGTGGTCTTTGGGCTGCTGGTCATGACCCACAACTATCTATTCCTGCTTAAGCATCAATACATCACATTTCTGTTCACCTGAGTAATGAATATGCAGGTGGCAGGTGTACCACTGAGCTGGTTGTATGACCCTGGAAAGGAGGAGAAGCAAACAACAGGAGGAGAGAAACAACAGCATCTGCATACACAAAAAAATCCCTGTAGTCCTCACCACTGATGCAGAAGAATCAGCTGCCTACACTGTCATCCCCTCGGGGTGAAGACAGCTCTTCATAGAGTCATAGAATGGTTTGGGTTGGAAGGGACCTTGAAGATCATCTCATTCACCCCCACTGCCGTGGGCAGGGACACCTCCCACTAGCCCAGGTTGCTCCAAGCTCCATCCGACTTGGCCTTGAACACTTTCAGGGATGGAGCAGCCACAGCTTCCCTGGGCAACCTGTGCCAGGGCCTCCCCACCCTCACAGGGAAGAATTTCTTCCCAACATCCAACCTGAACCTACTCTTCTTCAGTTTGAAGCCACTCCTTCTTGTTCTGTCGCTCCATGTTCTTGTAAATAGCCTCTGTTTTTCTCTGAAAAAAGGTTCTGGAGCTCAGACTAAATCTGCTCTTGGATTTGAGAGTCCCGCTGTTCGTGTGCTGAGCTGACAATTCCCCTAATCTTCTGGCCGTGGGTGGCCAAGTGCAGAACTTACAAAACGTGTTAACAAGCACTGCAGTTCTTGTTATACCCTCACTAAACTGTTTTTTTTTTTTTTTTTGTACATTTAACAAAGTTCTTTTTCACTTCTCTCTTTCCCTGTGCCACCAGTACAGAATTCTCACTATTTGAAGGGAGAACTTGGCCAGCAATTTTTTGTACCTTCTGTGGAAAAAAAAGTGTTATATCTTTATAGCTTCATCCAAAAAGATGAAGCCCCTTAATAGACAGGGGTATTGTGCCAGAGAAGGAACAGAAAAATCAGGAGCAGTATTATTTTGGCGCTTTCAATTTTTTAAAATTAATTTTCCAATCCTCTGCTCTTGAACAGGGCCTTCTTTCATCAAGCATGTCTTGATTTCCCCTCCTTCTGCAGAGACTCTAAGAGCAGCCACATGAGTGTTGCAGTGAAATATGGTTTTGAAATATCGTTTTCTCAGCAGGGAAATCCACTATGGTTTCTTTCCATATGTATTTTTGATGTTTTTGTGGCGCCAAGAGCAGTTAACAAATATGAGGCAAGGATAATGAACCGTATCTTTTGCAAACAGGGAGTTGTGGTCTGGGCTTTGGCTTTTGCCAACTCAGTGGACCTCAACATGCTTTTCACAGTCACTCCTGATAGTGGTAGCCCATAACTGTATAATATGGCTGGAAACCATTGCCACTGGGAGAAAACAGGCTCTTTAGAACAGAAAGTTTTGTGTTAATTAGAATTAAAATCTATAATAAGTCAAACCACTAAAACAGGTGAATCTTTCTCCAGAGCAAACACCTGAAAAAGCAGTGTGTGATACTACTTGTAGCTAATCATCAAACAATGGCAAATACAGATGGTAATTTCCCTCCAGGAAAACAGAACAGACGGTACAAATAGACTTTTAGAGCCAAAGCTACAGATAAATGTCAAGCAGGAAGCAATTGGTTTAAGAGCAGAACTTAGTTAATGTTAGGTCCTGAGAGCATGAATAAAAAGGCATAATTTTCAGACCCATTTTATCTCTCAGACTCATTTTATCTGCAGGGTTTTGGG